ACTGGTTCCAAACCCAAGCCGCAGCGAGTATTCATCACAGCCCTGACCTCCCACTGGATGGAGGACGATTTCGATGTCACCATCGCCAAGCGGCTCACGGCCTGGTATGGGGCTGCTGCCGTCCCACATGACCTGAAGGTGCGTTGGACCTCCCTCATAAGCTTATCGGTGACGGTGGCTCCTTCGTGGCGGTGGATCACTCTGCGGACTCTTGCGGGTGGCTGGCACACGAGCTCTCGGATGCACGTCACACCTGAGGTGGATCAGTGCCGTCTCGGATGCCACCAGCAGCCAGACGCGATCGCCCACTACCTGGTATGCGATCAGCTCCAACATCTAGTGCGTCTGCCGCGTACCTTCTCGCAGGCCACTGTCCTGGAGCGCCTGGGGTTGGGGTGCCACTATCCCGAGCACGGGGAACACTCGCTGTCGATGACTATCCAGCGCCTCGTCCTCTCGTACCACACGCACCTCGAGGTCAGGGCGTGAACGACTAAACCTACAAGCACCATCTGGGCGCGCGCCTGGCCGCCCTCGACCGGCTCAACATCACGAAGTAGCCCTCTGAGGCATAGGCCCCCCACCGCCGCGGCCCGCTGCCGCGTCGTCACAGGAGCCCGCCCTCAGGCTACTGACGCTCCTCCTCCTCCTCCTCCTCCTCCTCCTCCTCCTCCTCCTCTTCCCCCTCCTCCTTCTCCTCCTCCCCCTCATCCTCCTCCTCCTCTCTCCTCCCTCTTCCCTCATCCTCGTCCTCCGCGCTCCTCCTCCTCTTCCTCCTCGTCCTCCTCAAACCTCTTCCCTTCTCATTTACCCCCTCCTCCTCTTCCTCCTCCTCCTCTTCCTTCTCCTCCTCGTCCTCCTCCTCCTCCTCTATCCTCCTCCTCCTCACTCTCCTCCTCCTCCTCCTTCTCCTCCTCCTCATCCTCCTCCTCCTCCTCCTCCTCCTCCTCTTCCTCTCCTCCTCATCCTCCTCCTCTTCCTCCTCCTCCTTCTCCTCCCTCCTCTTCCTCCTCCTCCTCCTCCTCTCTTCCTTCCTCCTCCCTCCTCCTCCTCCCTCCTCCTCCCTCCTCTCTCCTCCTCGTCCTCCGCGTTCCTCCTCCTCTCCTCCTCATCCCCATCCTCCTCCTCCTCCTCCTCCTCATCATCATCATCATCATCATCATCATCCTCATCCTCATCTTCATCCTCAGCCTCATCCTCCGCCATTTCCCCATGACTTATCCCTTTCCTCCTTATCATCATCATCAGGAGCAGCAGCGCCACCACCGGCAGCATCAACATCAGCAGTGTCAGCATCAATCATCAGCAGCAGTAGTATCATCTTCGACATCAGCAGCAGCGCCATCACCATCGTCATGAGCATCATCTTCATCACCGTCAGCAGCATCAGCATCATTCCCTCCATATCACACGTAATCAGCAGCATCAGCATAATCTAAAGTATCAGCAGCATCATCATCCGCATCACCAGTATCATCATCCTACCAGCATCATCCCCAACATCATCACCAGCGACAGCACCATTAGCAGCAGCATTAACATCATCATCAACAACAGCAGCATCAGCATCAGCATCCGCATCGTCAGCAGCAGCACAATCATCCTCGTCCTCGTCGTCATCCTCATCCTCATCATCCTTCTCCACCTCGTCTTTCCCTCTCCTTTGCCCTCCTCCTCCTGCCTTTTTCCCCCGCCCCCTCCTCGCCCACCTCCTCCTCGCCGTTTCTTATGTTTGTTAGTTTCCCATCATCCTCCTCTTCCTGCTCATCAACCTCCTCCTCCTTTTCTTCCTCCCCCTTTCCGGCGTGAGCCCATGTTTTCGGTGTGGGTCCCCCCGCGGCTGCTGCGATGTCGGTGCGGGGGCTGGTTGGTGGCGAAAGTGACAGCGGATGAAATAGACCTCGAGGGCCACCCAGCCTTGCCCCGTCTGTTCTTCTTGGTTTTCCCAGTGCGGTTGGTGGCGCAAGTGGCAGAGGATGAAACAGACCTCGAGCGCCACCCAGTCTGCTTGACCAGGCAGGCTCTCCCAGAATGCACGGTCGCATACCCAGATACATTAATACTGGTGGTATCCCTACGTTACGTTGATTGTTACATAGGACCTGTCCCCATTCGTCGACACAGCGCTGCAAGTATTGCGCGCACGCCGTTCAACTTCGCACTGACATTCAGTCGTGGCCTTGCCCAATCAGCTTTCTCAGCGTCGGCCTGCTAGTCGGAATTCTGCTGGTGGGCGGGTGTTTGGTGGCTCTGCTGGTCGGTGGGGTTGCTGGGCGGTGGGTGGTCGGTAGGTCTGCTTATGGATCGGTCAGCTGGTCGGTGCCCTGTGGGCGGTGGCGTTGCTGGTCGGCAATGCGGTGGGTCAGCCGGTCGGCGGGTCTGGTTGTCGTGGTCCGTCGTGGTCGATTGCGCCCGTTTGCCTGCGCTGTAATACTGGTCATAGATGCGATTGGTGCGGTCGCCGTGGCCCTGTTGGCGGGTGGGCGAGTCGGTGGGTCATCTGCGCGGTGGGTCTGCTTGTCGTGGTGGGTCGCGGCTGGTCGTGCCATTCGAAGCTGGGCGTCGCTGTCGTCGTGGCGCCTGTCCTGAAAGGTGTCGCCGCTGCTGTCGGTCGCTTCCGTGTTTGTTGTGGTCAGTTGGCTTGGTTTTTGTTGCGTGCAGTTGTGATTGATTTCGTAGTTGCTACGCCGCTGTGGTGGGGTTGGTTTGCTGTGCTGCCGTATGCTGGAGTCGAAGTGCTGCGCGGTGCCTTGTGTGATGCTGACGTTGTTCTGCTGCGTTGGTGTCGGTCTGCTGGTGGTCTTCGAGGTGGCGTCAATCTGGGTGCCTGCGCTGTGCTGGTGGTCGTGGGTGTGTTTGTTACGGTAGATGTTGCCCTGCTGGTGAGTGGGTGGTCGTTGGCTCTGTTGGTCGGTGGGTCTGCTTGTGGGTGGGTGGTCGGTAGCGCTTCTTGCCAGTAGATCTGCTGGTCGGTGGGTGGGCAGAGTCGCTGCTGGTCGGTGGGTCTGCTGATCGGGGCTTGTCGTGGTTGGTCGTGCCAGTGGTGGCCAGGCGTCGCGGTCGTCGTGGTTTCCATGGTGTTCGTCCTGGAAGTCGTCGCCGCTGCTGCTCGTTGCCGGGGTCGCTGCTGCGCCTGGCTGTCGTAGATGCCATGGTTCTTTGCTGGATTCGGTCTGCTGCGATGATTTTTGCTGCATTCGGATTGCTGTGCGGTGCCCTGCATAGTGTCCGTCCCGGTGTGTGGCTCTACTATTTTGCTCTTGTGGTTGTACAAGTTGGTGCCTTCCACCACTCCCCCTCTTTCGTCGATTGGAATCCACCCAATGCGCAAAATGAACATAGGTTTGTTGATTGTCATCCCTCGAAAGCGTTCCTGACACGTCGTCGCGCAGAGGACCAGGTTCTTGGAGGACAGGTGGTGCTGATGGAAGCGACGGAGATGGTGCATGACAATGGGTTTGCTGGCAGGCGGGTCTGCTTGTCGGTTGGTGATCAGTGGGTCTGCTGAACGGTGGGTCTGCTGGCCAGAGCCTCGGGGAGGTGGTTGTGGTGGTCGGTGGGTCGGTGGGTCCGCTGGTCAGCAGGTCTGCTTGTCGTTGCTGGACGTGGCTGGACGTGGCTGGTCCGTGGCCGTCGTCGGTGTCTAGTTGCCGTCGGTGTCCGTCGTCGGCGGCTGGTTGTCGCTGGTGGCGGTTGTCATTGGGTGCGGTACCTTGCGTGGCCGTAGTAGCTTGCTTGTCATTGTGGCCGGCATGGCTTGTTATCGTGGTGGCCGTTGGGATGGGAAGGGAGGGATACGCGGCCTCGGGGAAGGGCTGCAGGGAAGGGAAAGGTGGTCGTGGGGAAAGGCGTCAGGGAGGGGATCGTCAGGGTGGTCGTGGTGTGCTGGCCCGTGAGAGTCGTTGTCGTGCTTGTCGTGGCTGTCGTTGTGGCCGCTGCGGTGCGCCTGCTCGTAAAAGTGGTTGTCGTAGCTGTCGTAGCTGTGGTGGGAGCCGCCGTGGCATGCGTGCTGTGATGGGTCTCTGTCGTAGCTGTCGTGGTGGCTGCCGTGATGTGCTTGCTTGTCGTGAATGCCGTTGTGGCTGTCGTGGCTGTGGTGGTGGCCGTTGTGGTGTGCGTGCACCTGAGCGTCGTTGCCGTGGTGGCCACTGTGGTGTGCTTGCTCGTCGGGGTCGCTGTCGCGGCTGTCGTGAATGTCATGATTGGCGCCGTGGTGCGCGTGCTCATGAGAGTCGTTGTAGTGGCATTGGTAGCCGTCGTTGTAACCCTGCCGTGGTGCGCTTGCTTGTCGTGGGTGCCGCTGTGGCTGCCGTGGGCGACGTGGCTGTAGTAGCGGTGGTCATCGCGTTTACGCTGGAAAGAAGTCGTCATGATCGTTGTGGCATGTGTGATGGTCCTCGTGGCGTGTTAGGCTCGATGTCTGCCATCTACGTAAGACGTCGTGTATCCATATATATATATATATATCTGGATTCACACATATACATATAGATATATGTATACACTACGCTGCAGTGGGTGCGTTCGAAATTGGGACATGGCCCAATAGTTAGGCAGAACCGCAAGCTTTTGGCTAGGTAAGTGCTTGAATTAGATCGTATGGGGAGCCGTCGTGGTTGTCGTAGTGGCCGCCGTGAAGTGTTTGCTCGTGCGAGTCGTTATCGTAGCTGTCGCGGCTGTATCGTGGTGGTTGTTGTGGCGGGCTTGCTCGTAGACGTCGTTGTAGTGTCTATCGTGGTTGTCGTGGTGGCCGTCGTGGTGCGCTTGAGTGTGAGAGTCGATGTCGTGGCTGTGGTGGCTGGTCGTGGAGGCCGCCGTGGTGCGCGTGCTTGTCGTGAACGCCGCTGTGGTGGTTGTAGCGGTTGTCGTGAAGGCCGCCGTGTTCGTGAGGGTCGTTGTCGTGGTTGTCGTGGTGGCCGCCGTCGTGTTCTTGTTTATCGTGGTCGGTTTAGTCGTTGTCGCAGTTGTCGTCGTGACCGTCGTGGTGTGCTCACACGTGAGTGTCGCTGCCGTGGCTTTCGTGGCCGTCGTGGGGGCCGTTGGATTGTGCGTGCTCGTGGTGATCACTGTTGTGGCTGTCGTGGTTGTCGCAGTGGCCGCTGTTGTGTGCTTTCTCGTCGTGGGCGTCTTGGTGGCAGTTGTGGCTGTCGTGGTGGTCGTCGTATGCTTGCGCGTGAGATTCGTTGTCGTAGCTGCCGTGGCTGATGCGAAGGCCGACGTAGCGCGCGTGCTCCTGCGAGTCGCTGTCGTGGTCGACGAGGCTGTCGCGGTGAATGTCGCGACGTGAGCGTTCATAGGGTCGCTGTGGTGGCTGTCGTGGTTGTTATGGTGGCCGCCGCCGTTGTGTGCTTGCTTGTCGTGGGTGCCCGTGTGGCTGTCGCGGCTGCCGTGGTGGCGTGGTGGTGCGCTTGCTCGTGGGTGTCGCTGCCGTGGCTTTCGTGAAGGCCGCCGTGGTGCGTTTGTTCGTGCGAGGAGCTGACGTGGTCGTCGTGGCTGTCGCGGTGGCCGTCATGGCGTGCTCATTCGCGGGAGTCGCAATTGTGATTGTCGTGGTTCTCGT